CCCGAGCTGCCGGGGCTCCTCTGCTGCCGGGCTCCCCGCTCAGCACCCGCCTCCCCGGCGGCCGGGCAGCCCCGCTGCCTCTGCGCCCCAGGCGCCTCCTCCTCCCGGGCTTGTTCTGCCGGGAGATGCTCGGTGGGGAAGACAAAGAGAGACGCGGATGCTGCCGAGACTGCTCCTTCCATCCAGGCATTTTAGGGAGCTATTTTATTCCTGGACAAACTCTTTCAACATTGCAAAAGGTTGTCTAGATTAATAGTAGTTCAAAACACACCATCTGCCAGGGACTGCTTCTGTGGGCTGTGTTTTCTATCAGTCTGCTGTTGGACCCAGAGGAGGTGTTTTACTAATCTAGAAGGTGGCAGAAATTTTGCCCACCACCCGTCATCTGCAACTGATAGTACGATGCTGGCACTGTTCCTCGCCTGCTGTGGGTAGAACTGTTTCCCTTGTATGCATTCTTCCCTCCTCCAGCAGTGCACAGCAAGTTTAGCACATGCTTTTCCTCAGACAAAATCACTGCCATCCAACAGGATGGGTAAAAACAAAGTCTGGATCCCATCTCCAGCCACCGAGATCTTGCAGGCAACTCAATCATGTTCCCAGCATAAGCAGTGGCTTAGCCTGCCCTGCTTTTTGGAATTGGAGCCATAAGCTGACTTCTTTCAGGTGCCCATGGCAGACTGTGAGTCCTGTATGCAGAGCAGGGGTAGCTGTAATGTGAGGGCACACAGCTATAGGAACAACCTGGGGTTCCCACTGTGCATCCATGGACAAGCATCATCCAATGCATCTGTGGAAGAATGTTGTGGCTATTGGGCTCTCACTATGGGGGAAGGGGGTGACCATGGCTTTTTGTGGTACAGAGCTTGCAAGGATCATTTTCCTTCTCAACCTTCCTCTGAGCCGTGAATGGGGATGGAGATGTGGATGCTTTGCATCATGACAGCCTCTTTCAGATCCTCTACTGGGGACCCCTGTCTGGCTTGAAGAGACAGAGACAAAAAGGGGATGGACTCTAAAGCAGCCTGGCTAATGCAATAATTTTGTCAGAGTGTCTGTGCAACTCTTTAGCCATGGTAGGTCAGATTCTGAAGGCCCTTCTCAGAATTTTACTCAGCTTGACCAGAAAAAAGCCCTGACTGTCCATCTGCCCATTTGTTCCCTCCCTGCTCTGAGCACCTTCATGAGGGACATTAGCATAAACAGATCTTGAGATATGGCTGAGAGTGACTCAAGCTAATCCCATTTGGAGGGAGTAGATGCTGAGTAAGGACTTCTGGATCAGGTCAGAGAGCTTTGAGAGAGGCTGGGTCAAGAGAAAATCACTCATATGGGGTGCAGTGTTACAGTTGCAGAATTGTCACTGGGAGCAATGGGAAGGACAAAAAGTGCTGGAGCAATGGGTCAAGGTGTCAAAGGAGGGGTGCATGATGGCTTTCCCCTGGCCAGGGGACAGCTGGACAGGCTGCCACAGATCCGTGCTCCTGCCTGCCCTGCTCTGAGTGCTGCTGGAAGGAGCAGCAGCGATAGTGGATGTGGAACCAGAGGATCAGTTCACCGGCAGAATGCCTTTGTATGGCTCAGTTGTCTCACACCTTATCTCTGACAGTCAGGAGGAAACACAGTCTGCAGTTTACTCCTAGTGGGGGTGAAACCAGGTGGATTGTTCTGAGGCAGTGGGAGAACCAGGGCACACAAGTCGCTCGGAGGATGGCACTGTTACCAGGATACCCCTCCTCTGCATGTGGCTTGGAAATATCCTGCCAAAGACAGAGCAAATCCTCTTAACAAACAATTGCAGGGCAGTTCAGCTGTCTCCCGGCTGTGCTTTTGCACTGGGAGCACTACAATAGCATGGATAATAGGAGCTCATGAGAAACACACCAGTGCTCCACTTGGATTCGCTGAAGGAGAATGCCTGGCCGGCAACTCTCTGTGGACTGAGAGATAATCCTGCTCTGTCTGCGTGTGCCGCCAAACGGCGGGTGACAGCAACTGGATGTGCTGCTACAGCTGAGATGCTCAGCGAGGGGAGGAGGCAGGAGTTTGCTTGGAAAGAGTGGACTCTTCTGTCAGTCTGCATCCTCTGGTCCGAATGCAGCCCTGGGAGAGAGTGAGCCAGTAGGTGAGCATGCAAGACCTGGGAGACACCAATCTACAGGAGTGTCCCCACCTTTCTTTCATCTCTGCTGCAGTGTCAAGGGCACCCATAAACTTTGCGTAGAGATAGATCAGCTGAAGAGCTTGTTTGGTACAACAGAGTGGGAACTGGTGTTTCTCACAAGGACCACAAGCTGTGGGTTTGAGACTTGGAAATCCCATCCCCATGGGTATTTTAGCACCTCTCAGAAGGATGTTATCTTGTTTCTAAACTGAATGCAGGGTACATGGTGCTGCCAACTGCATCTAGCTGGGTGCAGCATGACTGAGTTAATTTTACCAAAAATTGCTTCTAACATGAGAAATGGGAAAAATGGAAAGCAGACATTCTTTCTCTATTCACTCAAATTCTGTGCTATAAGCACATCTCCTTGTCACCCAAGTGCCCAGGAATGGGAATGTTCCCAGTTCCTTTTCTTTCAGGCAAGTGGGGAGAGCTCCAATCAGTGCCAGGACAGAACAACAGCTGCACAGATCAGACCACAGGTCTCTTTCCCCTGGGATCCTCAATTAGCAGTGGTTAATAGAGGATGTCCAGCAAGGAGGATAAAACCAGGGTCAGTGTGTAGGTCAGTGTCTTGCTGGGTATTCTCCTTACCATCAGCCATCCGTAGTTCAGGAATTTCCTGACATGTGGATCTCTGCATTTAATAGTCTTTTCAAGTTTTTCCTAAACCCTTTTTTGAGCCTGAGAAAATTTTGGGTATCCACAGCAACTTATGGCACTGTTCAGCTGTGTGAAGAAATATTTACTTTGTTCTGAATCTGTCACTCACTGTTTTCATTTGATGCTTTTGTAGCTTAAATATTGGAAGAGGCAGCAGGCAGTCATTCCTCTTTCATTTTCTCTAAGTCACTCTCAGATAAACCCCTGCTGTTCCCCTTCTCAGGTTTCTGCTTCCCAAATTGAAGTGTTGGACTTGTACAGAAACCATTTCATCCTTAACTAAGTCCCTGCCTCTCCTCTAGCCCTGCTGTAGCCTCTGCTGCAGTAGGACAGCAGCCATGGGGCTGCAGCTGCACCCTGGAGCTACCTGGGAGCATGCTGGGTTTGTGCTTTGCTCTGGCTGCCAGCACTCACTTGGATTGTTTTGATTGTGCTCAAGCCTTGAGCCGATGCTTTCACTGGACACTCCTGCCTTGTTCTTGCTATCACTTGGCCCCTGTGACTCAGTTTCCCATTCGTAGGCCGGGGAGGGGATAACCATTGCTCACCCCATTTATGAATCCACACTGGCAGTCATGGCCAGGGATTTCCAAGGACTCATTTCCATGCAGGGTCTGCAGCCTGTGCAGCTGGGCTGGGAGTTTGGGCTCCCATCTGTGGCTGGGGAACGTTGTGGCTTCCTCGCACGGCCAAAGGGGCTGCTGGAGCGTGCACTGCCTGGAGTGTGCACTGCCTGGAGTGTGCACTGCCTGGAGTGTGCACTGCCTGGAGTGTGCACTGCCTGGAGCGTGCACTGCCTGATGTGTGCACTGCCTGGAGCGTGCACTGCCTGGAGCGTGCACTGCCTGGAGTGTGCACTGCCTGGAGTGTGCACTGCCTGGAGTGTGCACTGCCTGGAGCGTGCACTGCCTGGAGTGTGCACTGCCTGGAGCGTGCACTGCCTGGAGCGTGCACTGCCTGGAGCGTGCACTGCCTGGAGTGTGCACTGCCTGATGTGCCCTGGCCCCTCTGTGCAGTGCCAGTGCCCGTGCCAGGGCAGTCCCTGCTGGAGCCCTGCCCTTCCCGGGCTGTGGCTGCAATCCCACCATCCCTGCCTGCGAGGGAGCCTGCCCATCACGGGGCTGCTCTCATTTGTATGCTGGTCAAGCTGGCTTCCAATGACAATCCTAATTATGTTTGCCTTGTGTATGATGAAGGTTACATTTCTGACTGATTTTGTCGGGCTGGAAGTGTAATTGATTAATTTAGAGTTTAAGAAGGGAAAGAGGATTAAGGCGGAGGTGAGGCTGTGCTGCCAGACACTGCATTGACTGCTTCACACTTTCACAGCTTCAGCTTTTGTTTGCCTGCAAACCAGCTTGTCTGAGCTCCCAAGTTGTTATTTCTCATGGCTCTGAGCTTGCTGGCAGATCCCTCAAAGCCAAGCCTCCTGCAGGGAGGGGAGCTGTAGCTCTGAAGACATACAAGCAAATAGCTAGTGCAGGCTCCAGATTTAATTCCATTGTATCTAGGGGCAAATGTACTTGCTGCTTGGCCATGAGCTATTCATGTGGGAGCTCCATATCCCAAATACCTGCAAGCTCTTGACTGAATGAAGCAGCAGACCTGCAGGAGTCCATCTGTCCATGACAGTGCAGTTTTGGGGAAGAAGTCCTCTTAATGACAACCAATAGGGGGATTTTTCCCCTGAAACTGCAGAGCACATGGAGATGCGGAGATAGAAGATGAACACAGCATCAGCTGGGCTCTAGTCTCAGGGACTTCCTGCAGCATCAGTGCTGGTGGAAGCAGCTGCATGCAGGCAGTCACTGCTGGGGCTCTGCATTTGATGGAGAAATGGTAGCAATAGCCCATGTAACATTCATTGGGTCTTAAACCTTTTGCTTCTTGCAGCTGAGCCTCTCTGTGGAGCCCACGGGGCCCTTGGTGGTGTTCTGAGGCAGTGATGGGTTTTCAAAAGGACAGAGTTCTGCCACGTAATTATGGACACTGGCCTGCTCATTATTGCACAAATTAATCAAGTTCTTGCAGTGCCCATAAAAGCAGATTTGCTGGGCTGTATATTGCCTGCGTA